AACGGTTCAGAAAAATGATGAGACCTTACCAAGGAAGAAAATTCAAACGAAACGAAGGCCTCAAAAATGAACCAAAAGAGAAGGACCCAATCATTTGCTATGAATGCAAAAAGCCGGGGCATGTCAAATATGATTGCCCATAATTGAAGAAAAATGGTCAATCAAAGAATAAGCACAAGGCTCATGTGGCTACATGGAGCGATGAAGAAAGTTCCGATGAAGAGGAACAAAAAGTAGCAAACTTGTGCTTGATGGCATTCGGGGAAGATTCTAAGGTAACCTCTAACTCATCCGATTTTGATGATTTATCTTATGATGAGTTATTTGAGAAGTACAATGGGTTGGCTTCGGATTATGAGAAATTGTTTTTAAAATATAAAAATGATGTTTCAAAATTGAAAAATGAAAACAAACTCATATCCAAAACCAACAACGATCTTGAAAGTAAAATCAAAGATTTGCAAATCAAACTAGAAGAGTTTGAAAATAAAAATTTAGATTTGCAAAATTTACTTTCAAAGATCAATGATGATCATCAAAAGAAAATTGATGATCTTAAAACTTCTTTTGATAAAGTTGGAACAAAACATTTTGAAAAAGGTGGAAATTCAAAATCCAACTTTGTTAGAAAAAGTTATTGAAACTACAATCATAGAGGTCCCCAAAGAACCTCTAATGGAAAAATCATTAGAAGTATGTGGGTTCCTAAAGAACTCATTACTACTAAAGATAAAAATATCCTACACAAATGGATACTTAAGGGGACTAGGATTTTGGAAACTAATGAATATGGACCCAAAAGAATTTGGGTACCAAAAATCAAAAATTAATCTATGTTTGTAGGGAAAGGAGCATTGCTACAAGGCACGGGAAACAAATTCAAATTCATGGTACCTTGATAGTGGATGCTCAAGACATATGACCGGAGACAAAAGCCGGTTCATTGAGCTTAACGCCAAAAATGGAGGAGAAGTGACTTTTGGAGACAATTCAAAAGGTCACATTGAATGTATTGGTACAATAGGTAATACCTCTTCCATACAAATTAAGAATGTTTTATATGTGAATGGATTAAAGCATAATCTATTGAGTATTAGTCAATTATGCGATAAAGGATTCAATGTCTTATTTGAAATTAATGGTTGTAAAGTCATTGACATTGCATCTAATCGGATTATGCTTGTTGGTCATAGAATAGGAAACATTTACATGGTGCATTTAGATTCTATTGATATGACTAATTTATGCCTAGTTGCTAAGGATGAGCATGATAGTTGGTTATGGCATAGGAGACTAGGTCATGCTAGTATGAGTGTTTTGCAACGGTTAATTCAAGGAGACTTAGTAAGAGGGTTGCCTAAGCTTAAATTTGATAATGATAAAATCTGTGATGCATGTGCTAAAGGAAAACAAAAGCGAGTTTCTTTTAAATCTATTAATGACGTATCAACTAGTAGAGTATTACAATTGATCCATTTAGATCATTTTGGGCCAACTAGAACTACTAGCTTGGGAGGAAAACAATATGCATTTGTCTTGGTAGATGACTATTCTAGATACACTTGGGTTCTATTCTTAAGTACTAAAGATGAAGCATTAGAAAATTTCATCACATTTTCAAAAATAATCCAAAAATGAAAAAGGTTACTCTATCACTAGTGTTAGAAGTGATCATGGAACTGAATTTGAAAATCTTGGATTTATTGAGTTTTGTAATTCTAATGGTATTAGCCATAATTTTTCAGCACCTAGAACTCCTCAACAAAATGGAGTTGTTGAGAGGAAAAATCAAACTTTAGAAGAAATGGCTAGAACCATGCTTTGTGAAAATAATTTGCCAAAATATTTTTGGTCGGAAGCCACAAATACCGCTTGTTATGTTGTAAATCGAGTAATGATTAGGCCAATTTTAAAGAAAACTCCATATGAAATTCTCAAAAATAAAAAGCCTAACATTAGCTATTTTCATCCTTTTGGATGTAAATGTTTTGTTTTAAACAACGGTAAAGAAAACCTTGGCAAATTTGATGCTAAAAGTGATGAAGGAATTTTTCTGGGTTATTCCTTAAATTCTAAAGCTTATCGTGTATTTAATAAAAGAACTTTAGTTGTAGAAGAGTCTATACATGTTGTTTTCGATGATAATCCCCTTCCGAGGAAGGATTCTTCTGTTAATGATGATGTAGGTATTGTACAAGCAAATGACGTTAGACATGACGTTGGAGAATCATCATCAAAGGAATAAACAAAAGATGAGGAAACTCATGATCCCCTCGAGAATCCAACCAGTGAAGAAAGGGAAGTATCTTTTCCAAGAGAGTACAACTATGTCAAGGATGGTAAAATTATAGGTGATCCATCAAAAGGGTTAACTACTCGATCTTCTCTTAGAAATATCTGTAATTATGTTGCATTTATTTCATGCATAGAGCCTAAGAACATCAAAAAAGCATTAAAAGATGAACATTGTATTATGGCTATGCAAGAAGAATTAAATCAATTTGAGAGAAGTAAAGTATGGACATTAGTTGAAAGGCCTAGTAATAAATCTACTGTAGGTACTAGATGGGTTTTTAGAAATAAACTTGATGAAAGTGGTAATATAGTGAGGAACAAGGCTAGACTTGTTGCTTAAGGCTATACTCAAGAAGAAGGCATAGACTATGATGAAACATACGCTCCCGTAGCTAGGATGGAAGTAATTAGAATGTTATTAGCATTTGTATGTTTCAATGAATTTAAATTATATCAAATGGATGTTAAAAGTGCATTTTTAAATGGTTTTATAAAAGAAGAAGTGTACGTGGAACAACCTCCAGGTTTTGAAGATTCAAATTTTCTGGATCATGTTTTAAAATTGACAAAAGCTCTTTATGGTTTAAAACAAGCTCCTAGAGCTTGGTATGAAGATTGTCAAATTTTTTAATTGAAAAAGGTTTTTTAAAAGGAAAGGTTGACACTACATTGTTTTTAAAGAGAAAAGGTAAAGATTTATTAGTAGTTCAAATTTATGTTGATGATATAATATTTGGTTCTACTAATGATGTTCTTTGCCAAGAATTTTCTAAGCTAATGCAAAGTGAGTTTGAGATGAGCATGATGGGGGAGCTCTCATTTTTCTTGGGACTCCAAATCAAGCAAAGAAAAGATGGCATCTTCATTAATCAAGCTAAGTACGTCAAAGATATGCTCAAGAAGTTTGGACTGGAAAATGGGAAACCTCATAACACTCCAATGAGCTCTTCAACAAAGCTTGACTTAGATGAAGGAGGTAAATGTGTGGATGTTAAATTATATAGATCCATGATTGGCTCATTGCTTTATCTAACCGCAAGTAGACCGGATATTATGTTTAGTGTTTGCTTGTGTACTAGGTTTCAATCATGTCCTAAAGAATCACATTTACTAGCTGTTAAGAGAATCTTTAGATACCTTAAGGACACTCCTAGTTTAGGACTTTGGTATCCTAGAGACTCTAGCTTTAGCTTGCATGCCTTTTCTGATGCAGATTATGGAGGATGCAAATTAGATAGGAAAAGCACCTCCGGTACTTGCCAATTCCTTGGAAATATGCTGATTTCTTGGTTTTCAAAGAAACAAAATTGTGTTGCATTATCTACCACTGAAGCAGAATACATTTCAGCCGGTAGTTGTTGTGCACAAGTTTTATGGATGAAACAACAACTTTTTGATTATGGAATTGAAGTAGGTACCATTCCTATCAAGTGTGACAATACTAGTGCTATTTGTCTCACTAAAAATCCCATCCAACACTCTAGAACTAAGCACATTGAAATAAGACATCACTTCATTAGAGACCATGTCACTAAGGAAGATATAGTTTTAGAATATGTTGATACTTTGCATCAATTAGCGGATATCTTTACAAAACCCTTAGACAAGGAAAGGTTTTGGACACTTAGAAGAGAATTAGGTTTAACTAACCTATCTTCACTTAGTGTTTAAAATAATTTAGCACTTTTAATAAATACTGAAAAATGCTTATAATAATAATTTTTGATTGCATTCTTGCTATTAGTTAGGGGGAGTTTATGATTCTTGGTGAAAATTAATTTTATGTTCAAATAATGTTTAAAGATTAATTTAATTGTTTGAACATAATTATTTTTCAATATATGAGTTGCCTATACCACTAGAGAAGATTAATTTAGCATTTTATGTGCTTAAAAGTCGGATTTTAGCATTTTGGTGCAGAGGGAATCGATCCCCCCATGAGGGAACCGATTCCCCCTTTGAAGGGGAACCGATTCCCCCCACAGGGGAATCGATACCCCCCTGGGGTTCTGTTAAAATCGGGCAGAACCCTTCAAAACACAAAAACCCTCCTTTTCTTCCGCCGTTTCTCACCCTCTAAGCACTCAAATCTCCATTCTTGCCTCAAATCATTGATTTTAATCGGAATTTACTTCAAATATCATCTCCTAAACTTGCAATCATCATTAAAATCGTGCAAACAACATCTAAATCCCCTCAATCTTCATCTTTCAAGGTAAATTTTTCTAAACTCTCTATTTCATTATTTTTGAACATAAGATTAGTTTTAATTAGTTCTAGGTTGAAATAGTGAACGAGCATTGATTGTTTAGTGATTAGAAACTAGATGTTACAACTAATTTCATCAAAAAACACAAGAATTTTCCAAAAATTTTAAATTTTCGAAATTAAAAAAAAAAAATTGTTGTTTTTCAAATTATTGTGTTTTGATTAAATTATGTTGTTGTTATGAAAACTATACATATATTGTTTCTCAAAACCATATTTTTCAAAAAGTTTTTCAAAAACTTTGCCCATTAGGATTGATTTAGATAACCTTGAAATATTGAGGACTCAATTGAGTTTTGGGATTAATTGAATTGCATACATTTGTTTTTAAATTTGCAGGTTATTCAATCTATTTTGATTTCCTTCACCATGTCTAATCCTAAACGTGTTAGGTCTTCATCTAGTCGTCCACACCGACAACCAAATCCACCTCCAAATCCTCCACCTATTCCAATTTCTAATCCTAATCCTATTGATCCTAATTTGACTATCCAAAATTCGTGTTTCAATCATCCTGGTCCTAGAAATCATCGTTTTTGGTATTATCAATATTTCGACTCTTACAAAATCCGGGAAGAACGTATTCCTTCTCGTCAAGCTATGTTAGCTATCAATTTTAAATATCTTCCTCTTTTACAAGAGTGGAAATTTGATAAACTCTTTGACCTTGAACCCATTGTTTACCATCAACTTGTTCGTATTTTTTATTCTAATGTCGTTTGTGTTAAAGACCAAACTGAAACCGAAACCATAGGAATTCGTTCCTACCTTCTAGGACAATTCTTATATATTGACTCGGCTTACATAGCCAATACATTTGGATTAGATAATGAAGGGATTTCAAATGAAAAACAGGTTTTAGGATCTCGTTATAAAAGAAGGGATAGTGCAAGTGTCCTAGACCTTCATGAACGTTTTCTTCATCTAATGATTTCTTGGTGGTTTCGACCATCTGGAGGTCGTTATTCTACTCTTAGAGCCTTAGATCTTTGGTGGTTACATTGTTTCGAAAACAATATTAAAATCAACCTACCTCAGATTATTTTTGCTGAAATTGTTGAAACCGTAAATCTTGTTCCTAATAAAAAACTTTGTTCATCTCTTGTTTACGGTTGTATTTTGAGTAATCTGTTTTCCAAAGCTGGGCTTAGAGTCAGTCTAGATGTCGTTTTTCCTCTTAAGAAACAAATTAACCTTCTTTCCTTAACGAGAGCGGGATGGATTAAGGATAAGGAAACTGGGAATGGGTTCGATCTTCTGCAACTACTCCGGGAGCTAGTTCTTCACGAGCTCCACCCGAAGCTGACGAAGATCTCGAGCTTGAGCAACTAATGCGAGACATCGATGAAGCTGAAGCTGAACCTGAGCAGGCCGAGGAGCAGCCCGAAGAGCAAGCACAACAATCGACTCAAATGCCTCCATATTTTCAATCTTTTATGGAGACATTTGATTACCGATATGCGACCATGGATTCGCGCTTTATTTCTATAGAGTCCCATTTATCCACAATGGGAGCTCAACAATTAGAAATTCTTCGGGAAATGCGTACAAATAATGAAGCAACCAACACACGTATTAATGACCTCACTAACGAAATGGCCGCTATACGAGCTCGTTTTCCTCCTCCCGATCCTCCTACGGATGTTTGATTCTATGTTTTAATTTGTTTTCCAAACTTATTGTTTTAACATTTTGAATATTTTGGAATGTTTGATTTTGTGGATTGTTGGATTTTGGATTTATGGATGGTGTGAACTTATATGTTTGGTGTTTTTTATTCGTTATTGCATCATTTACATCATTATTAGCAATATGACCAATTTTGCCATATCACATTATTTATGAATATTGATTACGGAACTAATGGCTAACATTTCTCTTAATTGTGATCTTAGCAGCTTATGCATACATATACCTAATCAATTGGCTTAATATTTTTCACGTTCATTTGAATCTTTTTGATTTAACAAAAAGGGGGAGAAGTGTGTTTTAAGTGTGTGTTTTTAAAAATGATAAATGGGAGAGTTTTTAAAAATGATAAATGGGAGAAGTGTTAAAGTAAGGGGGAGTAATTTTAAAACTTGATTTCAAAATCTTAAAAATTACTAAAATGTTTTGTTATATCAAAAAGGGGGAGATTGTTGAAAACATTTTGATATTTCGATATAACAAATTAAGTTAAATGAATTTTAAGATTTTCCAAAATGATTTTCTAAGTATATTCGATATAATTATTCGAATATCAAAACATTACTCAAAATATTTCAAAAATCATTTTTAATCCTTACTTAAGTGTAAAATTAAGTTTTAATCTTAAAACAATTTCAAAATAATCTTTCAAAGTATTTCGAACCATTTCAAAGCCAAAAATTCCAGATTGCTCAGAGGGAACCGATTCCCCCCCAAAGGGGGTACCGATTCCCCCCTGAAGGGTTTGGCTCCGAGATTTCCAGAATGCTCGGAGGGAACCGATTCCCCCATAGGGGGTACCGATTCCCCCCTGTTCAACGGTCGAAATATTTGAATTTTATACTTAGGGAACCGATTCCCCATAGGGGGTACCGATTCCCCCCACGCTCCAAACTGTTCTATTAATTGTTTTCACACTAAAACGGCTATATGATCTTCACTAATCATCCCCAACGTTCAGAAGAGATTCAAGGTGTATTTAAACAAGTTCTGAAGCCCTTGATCAACAAGAAATTATAGAGAAACAAGAGAGAAAGCATCAAACACCAAGTTTGTGCAAATCAAGCCAATTTTCCTTTCAATATTCATTTTGCTTTCAAGAACACCATTTGTGCTCATTTGTAATTATCTTTGAGTGTTCTTTTCTTGTTCTAGAATTGTGCAAACATCTTACCTTGTGAGGTTTTCTTGTAAGTTTGCAAATTTGTAATCTTCTCTTTGGGAAAAAGAGTGTTCTCAAGAGTTGGGGTATACTCTTGAGGGATTTTGTAAGGTTATCTCTTTGGCCTCAAAAGAAAGAACAAATTAGTGAATTTGTTGGAAAATCCTTAGTGTGGATAGCTAAGGTAGTGGACGTAGACTTTGTTTGAGAAAGTCGAACCACTGTAAATCGCTGTGCAATTACTTTCAATTTTTCTACAAAAGCTTCCACGAAATTTTAATTGTCAATTCACCCCCCTCTTGGCCGATTCCATCGATCGATTAACTCAACAATTTGGATAAAAGCAAATCTACTACAGGATATATGTTCAAAGTTGCTGGTGGAGCTGTAAGCTGGGTTTCAAAATTGCAGTCAGTTGTGGCTACGTCCACAACAGAGGCAGAATATGTAGCAGCTACACAAGCCAGTAAAGAAGCAATTTGGTTGAAGATGCTATTGGAGGAGCTTGGGCACAATTAAGAGTATGTCTCTCTGTTTTGTGACAGTCAAAGAGCCTTGCATCTAGCAAGGAATCCAGTATTTCATTCAAGGACTAAGCACATACGAGTTCAGTACCATTTCATTCGTGAAAAGGTGGAAGAATGAACGGTAGATATACAGAAGATCCATACCAAAGACAACATAGTAGATTTCATGACGAAGGCGATCAACGCTGATAAATTTACCTGGTGTCGATCCTCTTGTGGCCTGTCAGAGACATAAGCAACATGATGGTACAAGGTAGAAAGAATGGTGTGAAGATATGATTGTTCCAATCAAATCTTCAAGTGGGAGATTGTTGAAATGTCAAAGCTTGGAAAATTGGTTCAAGTTAGGCACCTAATATTGCAATGTCAAAATTAGGTGCAACAATGTTTGAAAATTAAATGAGTAAATTATAAACTTTAGTCACTAAACTTTAGGGTATTTATAAGATTAGTCCTTAAGTTTCAACTATAAATACCCTAGCTCATTTAGCTTCAAAACCATCCCAAAGCATTCTAGCTTTCTTCCAATACTAGAGAGAATTTAGAGAGTTTCTTGAGAGTTGTTTTCTCCTTTTTATCAAGAGATAATTATCATTGTTTTCTCCTTGGTAGATCGAGAGAAGTTGTAATTCCTATTTTCTCATAGTGAAATTCTTCTACCGTTGCATGTGGTTTTTACCCTAAATTTTTATGGGTTTTCCACGTAAATTTTTTGTCTCTTTTATCTTCATTTTTATTTTCTCAAATTATCAGTTGCGATTTTGCTCTATCCGATAGCTGTCTTCCGTAACAGATATTAGGGTCTCTGGCTATGTTGCGAGGGTTGTTGGTTTCACAATCGAGCAAGACTGCTCCAATCATTGCCAAAGGACCGGCGTCGGCTATGAAAAAGGGGGATTGAAGTTGACCCGTGGAGTTACAAAGATCATCACGAAATTACTCCGTTGTGTCTATGTAGACAAGTCAAGCTAAATAAGGATTGAAATTCGAAGTACAAAATTTACAGATATATTTGCGATATGATAGTGTGTGTAGTAATTTTGTTTGTCACGTTCACAATTTCCTTTTCAATTTGTGTCATTTACGAGTGATATAAAGAAAGAATAAGTATCCTCTGTCCCCCTTTCATGCCTCAATTTGTGTCCCTTAAATCTTATTAGTCCACTTGTGCACTAGCTAGCATAAAAAACAGGCGAAGAGAGTGTGATGGATGGAACGGAGAGGATATATAATCTCTCAAAGCAGATGTTGCAGAGATTTGACGCATGATTCATGCAACCAAAATTTTTACTTTACACATGCACAAGTTGTGCCACAGATTTCCTCTCTGCATTTATCACACTGTTTATTATCGTTCTCATGAAATCAACGATCCATCGTTGGATGTTCATGACTAGCTAGCCAATTTGAACACCATATTTCACATAAAGATAAGATTAACTGGAAGTAAAGAGAGAGGAAATAAAAAAATTAACTGGAAGTAAAAATTGAGATATTCAAAGTACAGAGGGACAGAGGATTCCCATTCCTTATTTAGACACATTTACTAGTCACACATCTTCTATTAGACATTTCATCAGTCCTTGACGCCGTGCGTGGGGTCTTGGAACTCACATAAATGGTGCCATTATTTTTGGTCAAACGTGGCTGCTGCTTCTTAATAATTTCGGTCATAATCGGTGGCTTCATAACTTTGAATCTTTACTCACCACTCCATGATATGATGAGATATAAATTGATGAAATCACTTGCAAGCTTTGCAGAAAAAAGAAAAAGAGTGGATCACCATAGCTGAAAAAAGCATGGGAAATTTAGGCCAGGTGGTGAACGCCCTTCTATTGCTAGAATTCTTCAGCATCCTGGTGATAGTTCCACTGGACATCCCGGAATCCATCCTCCCATACCACCTCAATCCTCTCTATCGATTTTACACTACGATCAGCCGAGATTATTTGGTGCTCGACAAGCCCCCTTTCTTCATGGCACTCATGATGCTGGAGCTCTTTTACTTGTTTCCACTCGCTGTGCTCAACATTTACGGGATGCTCACCGCCAAGCCCTGGTTCAACTCCACCTGCCTCCTCTTCGGTGCCTCTCTTATCACCTCCACGGTAAATAATAATAACGACTTTGTTTTCTCTTTTTCCTCAACTATGCATTTTTTTAACACCGGTGAATTTCAGACAGCTATGCTAGGGGACATTCTCGGATCCGACAAGCCGTCGGCGGATTTCATGGCAAAGTTGTATTCGCCATTTATCGCGTTAGGGGCTCTCACTGTATTGCGGGGGCTTGTTCCGCAACGCGGCACGGCTACTCCAATCATCGGTAACGGACCTGGGTCGGCTTTGAAAAAGAAGGCTTGAAGTTTGGATCAAAGAGTTACAAGGACCATATTCTTCATTAAGCTACCATGTCAAAAACAATAATATGTCAGCAATATAGTATTATTTGTATTAGTCTCCTCTTTATCATGTCTTGAAAGTGATTGTGTGACAATTAATGCATTGGCCTTCCATGAATTGGCTCTTATGATTATAAATTATAAACCATGATGACACCTATCCTTTTAGATTTCAACGAGATGGTGTTTGCCAGGATGAGCTCATGTGTTTCAATGGACTGTTGTGCCGCAAGTCTTAAAAAAACACTAATATTTCCCCATATTTTTTTTACTACGGAGTACATCTAAAATTTATTTTCTTCCTGATTTTCTATTTCTTCATTTGATTTTTTTACTTTTCAACCTAACAAAGTCTAAATGTGAATGAGGCCAAAGGTGATGGTGAGGGACCATTGATGGCTCTACCTCTACAAATCTCTTGATCACGTAAACTCTTCAGCTGGTAACAAGGGAATCGAGCCTTCTAAAGTAAGCACATCTGCGTTTGGGCTCCGAGGCTCAAAAGAGCTTCACAATTGCGATAGAATTAGGGATGATAATTTAATTTGAAATTGATAGATTTTGATTCAATTCAATCTGATAGAATATTTTTTTAAAAAATAATCAAGTTTGAGTTGGATTGGATTCAGATGAAGGGTGAAAAACTTTCGACCAGACCCATGGATAATAGAATAATTTTCATATAAATTTATGGATAATTATTTTAATACATCTTGTCAATAATTTTCATATTGTTCGGGTTAGATCGAATTTAGGTGGAGAATATATATTTTTCGGGTCAGATCGCAGATATATATTCTTCAAACCGGATGAATCAGATTAACCAAAAACTCGGTCTAATCCGACCCATTACCATCTCTAGATAGGATGGTGTCAAATTTAAAAAAAAAAAAACACGCACACATACATACCCATCTTGATGCCCCAACTGACCCACCTAAAAGGCCAAGATTTGGTGAGCTGATAAAGAAGACTCTTATTTTGGAATGAAGCCCGGGTGTTTTAGATATTAAAGGCTATGAGTCTACGGAATTAATAAAGTTTTATATACACAGCAACCGAGGCTAATGGCGAGCATGCTCTGATACGGATAGACACGCATACAATTAATCTCGTCGAATTAAATAAAATTATGAAACTTTATCGAATATTTAATGTTATTACGTTCTCAAGATTTGAATGTTCGTTTTACGGATCTAAATCGGACTTTTATGGTTAGGGGAATCATCTATGTTATGAGGACCCCTCTATCGATTCATGCAGTCCTTGTACTTTTCTGCAGCGTCTTTATCACCACTTTTCACTGGATAAGTTTTTTAGCATCACGAGTGTTTACCTTTGCCGAACATGTTGTTTGTTCCTTGTCCGGTGACCTCAGACTGTGCAAGCTCTCCTATACATGCTTCGTTTCCTTTCACAGAAGTTTAAAATGGAGGGAAGGAAACAAACATGAAATGGCAGAGTCAGTACATGGACTTTTAAGGCTCATCTTGGAGTTTTGTCGGACCATTTGTCAATTTTTCGATTTGTTGTCTTTAAATATGATTTTAGACATCAAATTCAATTGTTCTAAATTAGGTTTAACTTGGAAAATGGCGGATGGAAGGTAAAAAGAACAAGAGAAAAGACAGAAGCTATCATTTATAGAGATGAAAATCAATCAATGTTTCCATGTCCAACTTGTATCGAAGCCTGAAATGGAAACTCTATTTCCCGCTAGGTATTAGATCAAGGAGAATCTACAAAGAAAAAGTGGTGCTAAAATGAATGGATATAATCCACTTACACGATGTCAAGTGCAAAGGATTATAATCCACTTACATTAGTTTTACACAAATTTAATATCTTTGAATGATTAAAAATATATGATTGAGATTAACTTCTTGTCTTTTTTTCTAATGAATATTTTCTCATTTTCTACTGTTAATCTTATTCATCTATTTCCACTCATCCAATGGTCTTAAAATTATGTAAAATTAAAAAAAAATATTATGTAAGTAGATCCTAATTATATATATATATATTGATAATAAAAACAAACACCTAATGATAATAATAGAACAAGAGAAAAGACAAAATCTATAAATTATAGAGATGAAAATCAATTAGTGTTTGCATGCCCAGCTTGTATTGAAGCCTAAATTGGAAAATCTATTGTCCCCCATGAAGAAAAAGTAATACTAAAATGAATGGACGTATTTTTTCCACCGAGGTTAATCTTGTTTGTCGGATTTCAATTATGTTATTCACGTCACTTTAAAATAATTTTATATATTAATTTTTTTAAAATTATAAAACCCTATTTTAATTTCTTTAGTTCCCTGAATAATTATATCTGGTAGGTTGGTTAAACTACTCTAAGTAAGATGGAGATACGATCTAAAAATTTTTCAAAATTTTTAATTTCATTCATGTTTAAATCAAGTTAAATTTCTAACACTTTGAACTCTACCAATACGTAGGTTAATTTATTTAAAAAAGAATGCACAATAAATGATTAAATTATTATTTTTTATTGGTGTTGGTTGAATATCTATGATTCTATTCTCATGAAATACGGAAATGCTGGCTACTGCGGCAGGCAATATGAAACTTATTGAGTGATCTTGAAATATAAAACTTAATTTTTTTCCTCTAAATGTGTTTAAACTTTTGGGTAAACTATGTTAAATGACCCTCAAACTTTTTGAATATTTGTATTTTGTTCATCAAACGTTTAAAACTTGTGATACAATTATTAAACTTTTAGCCCACTTTTATTACAATTATTATCGTTAAGAAATGATTTCTTTCACGTTAAAATTTATTTCCTCCAAAAAATTCCAAAGTTTCTCAGCTATTTGACAGACGTCGACATCTTTTTGTTTGTGTTCTCATGATCGTCAAATTATTCGTCGCCATCATTTCATCTAACTCCTAAACACCACAATCACGAGCAACAACCATCATCCACGATCAAACCAATTTTGAACAACCATCACTACTCTCATTCAGTTGCCATCTGTAGCCACAACCACCAATAGTAACAAACAATAAACAAAAACAACAAAACAAACATAAAAGAAGAATAAAAATTATTAATCTCGCCCTTAGCGAGTTTTCATGAATAGAGTAGTTGATCAATCTCAATGGTTAGAAGACTCTGTTAGACTAAAAGATTAACATAGTTCGATTTCAAGATAAATGATAGTTCACATTAACATATCAGAAAGTTTTAACTTTTAATTTCGGTTAAGATTTAAAGAGATTAGAAGATTTTTCAATAAATCTGAAGTGATGCAAAAAAAGAGAAAATAAATTAGTTCGATGATGTTTAACCATTAATTATAATTAAAAATGACGATAAAGTCCAAGCTGTTTGGTCCGCCATGGACGGTTGAACGCAATTTGACAATCGGAGAACCGATTTCAAGTTTTTCCTTCTCTGTACATACAAAAAAACAAGCTGTCCAGATAAGAGATTCTCCCTCAGCAAACGGTCACCAGATCTGATGTTCTTTTCTTAGTCTAGTTTGATTGAGCAGTACTGTAGAAGATTACAAGCAAAGAACCACACACCAACTCTAGAAAACCCTAAATTATAAACATGTACAACACCATCATATATCTCTATTTTTCTTTTTAAATTTTATTTCTTCTTTAAAGGGATCACACCATAAATTTTAAATTAATTGATAATACACACATTATGTAGATGCAGTTACTAAAACCCAAGATTTATAAGAAAAATAATATTTATTTTTATTTTAAACTAATTTTTAATTAAAATATTTAATAATGTTAACCTTTTACTTAGAGTTGTTTTTTTATTAAAAAAAAATTAGCTACCGGTAGTAATGAACCTGAACAGGTTTATGTGTTGTATTTTTTTAAAATTTTGCTAAGAGCAACTCTTATTATAATACTTAAAACTTAAGTGCCGTGTAAAATTAGGGTAGAGTTTAGGTGTATCAATTCTCATTAAAAATAGCAAGAAATATCAACGAAAGCAAATAAATTATTAAAAGATAGATGATTGTCAATAAAAAAATTGTAGGCCTATAAAGATAATATAAACATAATTTTATAAATTATACTATAATATAAGGCGGTGACTCATCCCAATTAATAAAAAATGATTTTAAGCAGTACACGACGTTCAATTAGGGTATAGAGTCTACTACGGTGTTTGACTTTGCGACTAAATTCCCAGGAGAGTGGCGTGATTCGGAGGCAGCTCATGCAAGAATACAACAAAATCAAGGATGTACAGGATAGTTAAGGATGAGATAGTTATACTCTTAAATTTAAAATTATTATATATTTTAAATATTTTTATCGTTAATCTATCGATAATTATGCATCCATTCCTAATAATATATTAACAACGTGAGGATGTAGTTTCAAAGTGGATGAACCCGACCGGAGATTATCTAAAATGCAATGTCGACGCTTTCATTTCTAGGGAATCTAATGCCTCTCTTTTTATGTGATTTTTTGTGGTAATAATGTACAATTTCTTAAGGGTTTGGTAGCTTTTAAGTTTTAATATGCGTTATTTATGAGTTTCATAACTCATAAAATAAAATAGAAAACATTATTTAAAAGACTATTTTTAAAATAAATCTTCAAGGATTTATAATAGTAATTTCATAGCTAGAAAATTTACAAGGATATGCTCACAACGTGCATGACATGTTAAGTTAATATAATTTTCTGTAAGTGAAAAATATGATACGACCGAGAAATCAAAATTGACTGGTTTAGTATTTTGATCGCAACGGAGCCGCCGATTAAGGAAGAAAGATTCCCCATCTCATTTCATATATATATTTAACTATTAGTATTTAGTTTACAATTCACTCATCTAAATCAAATTTTATAAATATTCATTATGAAACGATTAATTTATTTTATTTATACTAGTCATGATTCGAACTTTTAAAATATTTTAATTAAAAAAATATAATAACTTATTCTTCTGTATAAACTAGTCGTCATTATTGCTTTATATATTTTTTATTCGTCTCGTCAAACATGGCTGCTGCTTCTTAATAATTTAGGCTATAATCAATGACTTCATATCTTTGAATCTTCACTCACCACTCCATGAAATGATGAGATATAAATTGATGAAATCACTTGTAAGCTTTGCAGAAAAAAGAAAAAGAGTGGATCACCATAGCTGAAAAAGCATGGGAAATTTAGGCCAGGTGGTGAACGCCCTTCTATTGCTAGCATTCTTCAGCATCTTGGTGATAGTTCCACTGGACATCCCGGAATCCATCCTCCCTTACCACCTCAATCCTCTCTATCGATTTTACACTACGATCAGCCGAGATTATTTGGTGCTCGACAAGCCCCCTTTCTTCATGGCACTCATGATGCTGGAGCTCTTTTACTTGTTTCCACTCGCTGTGCTCAACATTTACGGGATGCTCACCGCCAAGCCCTGGTTCAACTCCACCTGCCTCCTCTTCGGTGCCTCTCTTATCACCTCCACGGTAAATAATAATAACGACTTTGTTTCCTCTTTTTCCTCAACTATGCATTTTTTTAACACCGGTGAATTTCAGACAGCTATGCTAGGGGACATTCTCGGATCCGACAAGCCGTCGGCGGATTTCATGGCAAAGTTGTATTCGCCATTTATCGCGTTAGGGGCTCTCACTGTATTGCGGGGGCTTGTTCCGCAACGCGGCACGGCTACTCCGATCATCGGTAACGGACCTGGGTCGGATTTGAAAAAGAAGGCTTGAAGTTGAAGTTTGGATCAAAGAGTTACAAGGAACATATTCTTCATTAAGCTACCATGTAAAAAACAATAATATGTCAGCAATATCGTATTATTTGTATTAGTCTCCTCTTTGTCATGTCTTGAAAGTGATTGTGTGACAATTAATGCATTGGCCTTCCATGAATTGGCTCTTATGATTGTAAATTATAAACCATGATGACACCTATCCTTTTAGATTTCAACGAGATGGTGTTTGCCAGGATGAGCTCATGTGTTTCAATGGACTGTTGTGCCGCAAGTCTTAAAAAAACACTAATATTTCCCCATATTTTTTTTTACTACGGAGTACATCTAAAATTTATTTTCTTCCTGATTTTCTATTTCTTCATTTGATTTTTTTACTTTTCAACCTAACAAAGTCTAAATGTGAATGAGGCCAAAGGTGATGGTGAGGGACCATTGATGGCTCTACCTCTACAAATCTCTTGATCACGTAAACTCGACTTTAGGTGGAGAATATATTTTTTTCAGATCAGATCAAATATATATATTCTTCAAACCGAATCATGTCAGATTTGATGAGTCAAATTAACCAAAAACTCGATCTAATCCGACCTATTACCATCTTGATGCCTGATAAAGAAGACTCTTATTTTGGAATGAAGCCCTGGTGTTTTAGATATTAAAGGCTATGAGTCTACGGAATTAATAAAGTTTTATATACACAGCAACCGAGGCTAATGGCGAGCATGCTCTGATACGGATAGACACGCATACAATTAATCTCGTCGAATTAAATAAAATTATGAAACTTTATCGAATATTTAATGTTATTACGTTCTCAAGATTTGAATGTCCGTTTTACGGATCTAAATCGGACTTTTATGGTTAGGGGAATCATCTATGTTATGAGGACCCCTCTATCGATTCATGCAGTCCTTGTACTTTTCTGCAGCGTCTTTATCACCACTTTTCACTTGATAAGTTTTTTAGCATCACGAGTGTTTACGTTTGCCGAACATGTTATTTGTTCCTTTTCCAGTGACCTCAGACTGTGCAAGCTCTCCTATACATGTTTCGTTTCCTTTCACAGAAGTTTAAAATGGAGGGAAGGAAACAAACATGAAAATGGCAGAGTCAGTACTTGGACTTTTAAGGCTCATCTTGGAGTTTTGTCGGACCCTTTGTCAATTTTTCGATTTGTTGTCTTTGATATGATTTTAGACATCAAATTCAGTTGTTCTAAATTAGGTTTAACTTGGAAAATGGCGGATGGAAGGTAAAAAGAACAAGAGAAAAGACAGAAGCTATCATTTATAGAGATGCAAATCAATCAATGTTTGAACGTCCAACTTGTATTGAAGCCTGAAATGGAAACCCTATTCTCCGCTAGGTATTAGATCAAGGAGAATCTACAAAGAAAAAGTGGTGCTAAAATGAATGGATATAGTCTCACTGTTTGATATTCCTCGTGTCATTTGTACTAAGTTACATTAGTTTTATACAGATTTAGTATCGTTGAATGACTGAGAATAGATGATTGAGATTAATTTATTGTCTTTTTTTTTCAATGAATATTTTCTCATTCTCTAATGTTAATCTTATTCATCTATTTTCACTCATCAATGATCCTAAAATTATGTAAAATTAAAAAAAATATTATATAAGTAGATCCTAATTATATATATATATATTGATTGATAATAAAAACAAACACCCAATAATAATAATAGAACAAGAGAAAAGACAAAATCTATAAATTATAGAGATGAAAATCAATTAGTGTTTGCATGCCCAACTTGTATTGAAGCCTAAATTGGAAAATTTATTGTCCCCCATGAAGAAAAAGTAATACTAAAATGAATGGATGTATTTTTTCCACCGAGGTTAATCTTGTTTGTCGGATTTCAATTATGTTATTCACGACACTTTAAAATAATTTTATATATTATATTTTTTAAATTATAAAACCCTATTTTAAATTTTTTTAGTTCCATGAATAATAATATTTGGTAGGCTGGTTAAGCTACTCTAAGTAAGATCGAGATACAACCTAAATTTTTTTTATTTTTTTTAATTTCATTCATGTTTAAATCGAGTTAAATTTGATTAATTGTTGTGAAATGCTAAATCTAATCTCATTTTGTGCATGAATAACTTTAATTCAAACAAAAAAATCCCAACTCTTTGAACTCTACCAATAGGTAGGTTAATTTATTTAAAAAAGAATGCACATTAAATGATTAAATTATTATTTTTATCGGTGTTGGTTGAATATCTATGATACTGCCTCAGGCATTATGAAACTTATTAAGTGATCTTGAAATATAAATCTTAATTTTCCCCCTCTCTGAATGTGTTTAAATATTAGGGTAAATTATGTTAAATGACCCTCAAACTTTTTGAATATTTGTATTTTGTTCAATAAACTTTTAAAACTTGTGATACAATTATTAAACTTTTAGCCCACTTTTATTACAATTATTATCGTTAAGAAATGATTTCCTTACACGTTAAAATTTATTTCCTCCAAAAAATTCCAAAGTTTTTCGGCTATTTGACAGACGTCGACATCTTTTTGTTTGTGTTCTCATGATCGTCAAACTATTCGTCGCCATCATTTCATCCAAGTCCTAAACACCACAATCACGAGCAACAACCATCATCCACGATCAAACCAATTTTGAACAACCATCACTACTCTCATTCAGTTGCCATCCGTAGCCACAACCACCAATAGTAGTAAACAATAAACAAAAACAACAAAACAAAACAAAACAAACATAAAAGAAGAAGAAAAATTACTTATCTCGCCCTTAGCGAGTTTTCATGAATAGACTAGTCGTTGATCAATCTCAATGGTTAGAAGACTCTGCTAGGCTAAAAGATTAACATAGTTCGATTTCAAGATATATGATAGTTCACAGTGACATATCAGAAAGTTTTAACTTTTAATTATGTTAAGATTTAAAGAGATTAGAAGATTTTTCAATAAATTTGAAGTGATGCAAAGAAAGAGAAAATAAATTAGTTCGATGATGTTTTGATCGAAAAAAACATTAATTATAATTAAAAATGATGATAAAGTCCAACTTGTTAAGCCCCATAATTTTAAAGTTATACAATTTAACACCTCTTAATATTTAATCATAATTTTGTACTTAATCCAATCCATAACTTTAAAAATTATACAATTTAACACCTCTTAATATTTAATTATAATTTTGTACTTGATCCAACCAAATCTTAGGATATACTATTGTCCTTTTAAACCTAATATATTTTTTGTTCGTTCAAATTTACTTTAATCTTCAAGCTCAACTTGAAGTTTTCTTTCTTTAAATGAGAAAAATATATTCATGTAATAAGTTAATAAAGAACAAAATAGTTCAGACTTCGAAGGACTATCACAATCCAAGCCAAATGGGTAGTTGTGTTGTACGACAGTCTAATTTAAGGTTAAGGCGGCTTTCAACATAAAGTGTTATTATGTTTAACATAAAAAATTATATAAATTCATAACATTTTTTGTTACAATCGAAAAGTTACAGTGCAGAGGATTTATGGCTTATAACCAAAAAAGTTATATAAATTTATAACATTTTCGGTTGAAACCGAAAATATTACAAAGAATGTAACATTTTTTATTTCAACTTAAAATGTTACTCTGACTAACATAAAAATTATGCTTTTAATAATATTTTTAGTTGCAACCGATTTATGTTGATTTTTAACATTATATTAACAAGTTAAATTAGGTTTTAACTTGGAAAATGGCGGATGGAAGATAAAAAGAACAAGAGAAAAGACAGAAGCTATAATTTATAGAGATGAAAATCAATCAATGTTTGCTTGTCCAACTTGTATTGAAGCCTGAAATGGAAACTCTATTTTCCACTAGGTATTAGATCGAGGAGAATCTACGAAGAAAAAGTGGTGCTAAAATGAATGGATATAGTCTTACTATTTGATATTTCTTCTGTCGTTTGTACTACATACCTAAATTTCTTCCCACTTCACATGCTTCTCGTTTTTTTACCTATAACATCCTTAGACCGATATGGGTGATCTGATCCGATCTGATCTGGGGTGTCATATTAGGGTCACTAGAGCGACCCAGACTGAAAATCTTGAGAAATTTAAAATTTTTGTTAATCCATTTAAAACTGTAAAATAATTTATAGATAAAATACAATTTTTGAAAATTATTTATATATATAAAATAGACTTCAACAATATTCAATAATAAAACAAGTTTCATACTCGAATATAAAACAGAATACAACCTACATGCTCCCTAATTACATGCACCGTACTTCGCAAGCAACGTCGGAGGAACTCCTTTACTGATGTCGATAAAAGCACAATAACATTTCCTTTAACCTGAAATGATAAGTAACAGAGTGAGCTTTGGAAAGCTCAGTAATACAGAACTACCAGATGAATGCAATAGGTCTCAGGTATATGGTAAAACATAACTTCATTAGTGGGATAAACATCATCAAAATCTAGCGGTAAATTCAGATTCCATTAGCTAAGTCTTCAGTTACAAACAAGAATTTACGGTCTAAATGAACTATTCAGAGAGACATATTAAGAAGATTGAATTGGGGAGTCTAATGTGTTCCAACAAAATAGAGAAATCTGTACATATACTTTAAAAACATTATTAGTTTAAAACATATTTTAAAACCATAGTAATACCCTCTAACCGAACACCGATATGTTGTTCCCCAGAATTGCATCCATAAGGACTTACCTTAGGCCCATTGCACGTAGGAGCCAACCTAAGGGATTATTTTGGGGCCTGAGAGCCTACCCAAAAGTGTACTTTGGGGCATAAGAGCCTACCCAAAGGAATACCTTGGGGCCTTAGAGCCTACCCAAAGGAATACCTTGGGGCCTTAGAGCCTACCCAAGGAAATACCTTGTGGCCTCAGAGCCTACCCAAGTGTCACCTTAGGTCCGTAAGGATTTACCAACTTGATCAGAGCTGAACTTTCATACTCCAGAATCTTACCCATATAGTAATAAATCAACACATACATTAATCTAGTGATTTTCATGATCTATAAATCAATCATAATTATATTTTCTAGTGAAACAGGTAATCATATAGCACATATCATGTAGCACATAAGGAACACACTAGAGGATCTAATTATTTTCCGGGGGTAC